TTTTGTTTAATTATCACCAAATATATTAGATTTTGGGTTAACCATCACCAATTAATATGTTTTTCATCATTTTTGAAATTGTCTACAATTGGAAGGAACTCTTTATAAATTAAAAACTTCAACACCAAAAAATAGTGTAAACTCATTTTTTATATCTAGTGCTGGAAATGGTGTTGAGTTGGAGAGGATGTTACACCAAAATGAGACATAGTATAGGATTTGGTGTTGGGTTGGATTTTAGGTTAATTTAATTACTTATTGATCATTTAACCTAATTTTCGAAAAATGATGGGTTAAAAGTACCTTAAAATAAGGGGACAATTACAAAAATGTCATTTTTATGTGCACATTTGCAAGAATGTCACTTAGGGGTGTCCATTTGCAATGCCACTAATTATAGATTTATAAAGCCTATATCTTAAATTCTAAACCCTAAAAAATGTTTTGACCCCTAAAACCCCCTAAACTCTCATAACTAAATCCTAATAGAACATAATTAACCCAAACATAAATGATATAAAGAAAAAATAATTTTGAAAAAGTGGTATTTTTGTAAAGATTTCAAAAATATGGCAATTTTGTAAAGTGGCACTTGAAAAGTGTCATTTTTTTTAAATTCTCTAAAATAAAGATCAAAGCGAAGGTACTTGCGGGCATCATGCTTAGAAAAGCACCTGAAACAGTTGCTGACGTGTACAATAGGCCAAGCATATAGAAAAATTGGGCCAAACTTGCCCTGCACATTAGTAAAATATAGTATGAAACGAAAATAGAGAATGTAACATATAGTCTTAATCATATTTAAATTATTTATAGAACAAATTAACTGAGGATATTTAAGATTTTTTTTTTTTTTACAGGTATATTTAAGATTTGGAGAAGACAAACCCAAGCAAACCGCTGATGAAATTATCAATCATTAGCCTAAACGTTATCTTCGGTCTTGTTTTCCTTTTAACAGTAAAACATAATTAGTATTAGAAGGGGAAAAAACATAAAACCACATACAGTAGTAATGTTGACTTTAAATTAATTGGGACTTTAAATTTGTTAGTAACGTTGGGATTTTT